CTCTCGCGGGCTCGTTTCGGGCTCTGGCCGCTCGACACACGTGGGGTTGGCCAGCCACGAGCCCTCCTGCCCCCAGGGCTTACTGCTCCCCAAAGAGAGACGGCAAACCACAACGTGCAATTCAGCTGTTCCTTCCCAGCGGGGCGTCAGGACTTAACTCTTCCTCAAAGCGGACATGACACTGGGTGAATGTCCTGGGTTGAGTGAGTGGTGGAGTTTTTTGGTGGCAGGGGAGGGGGCTATCGGGGCGGCCCCCTGTGAGAAGCTTCTCGAAGCTCCCCCAGCTCCACGTCAGCTCCACTTCTGTTTAGAAAATTGAGCCAATCAGCTGCGCCTCTGCAATAACGTATTTAAGAAGGGACGTGGTGACAGGCAGTGGGACTGGTGAGGAGGAGTTGCTGCAGCTGCATGAACACCAAGGTCAGTGGAGGAACGGAGGAAGAAAGGAGGGGGGAGGTGTGCTGGAGCAGAGACCCCCCTGTATCCTGTGGGGAGACGGCAGGGTGGCCCCCCCTGCCACCCATGAAGATCTACGGTGGAGCAGACACTGATTTATGGCCTGTGGCTCCTGCTCGAATGATCAAGGTTCTGTGCCCGAAGAAGGCCGGGGTCTCATGGGAAAAGGCAGCCCCGCTGCTGTAATTCAGCGCTGGGAGGATTGCAGCATGCGGGGGAGTCCCACGCCGGAGCAGCTCGGGAAGGGCTGCAGCCGTGGGAGAGAATCCAGTCGGAGGAAGTTGGTGACCCATGACGGAGCAGTGTGGGGAACGCTGTGGCCCGTGGGAGGAATTCAAGTCAGAGAAAGTTTGTGGAGGACTGTCTCCTGTGAGAGGGGGACCACGATGGAGCAGGAGGAACAAGTTCTGGGCACTCCCCTCACCGAAGATAAGGGAAGTGGCAGCGCTGCCTGCACCCCCCATTCCCTGCCCCTGCGCCACTGGGGGAGGAGGTAGAGATATCGGGAGCAGAGCTGAGCCCGGGAAGAAGGGAGGGGTGGGGGAAGGTGTTCTCAAGATGGGGCAATGCTTCTCACTGTCCTGCTCTGTTATGTGTTGTTAGTGTCTGTAATAAATGTATGTTCTTTTTTTCTTCCCCTAACGAGTCTGCCTGTTGCTCGTGATCATAAAAGGGGGATTTTTTCCCCATCCCAGTCCTACCTTGAACCCCAAGCCTGGCTCTCTGTCCCTTCTCATTGCCGGAGGGGAAGGGAGAGAGAGCTGCTGCATTGTGGTTGGCTGCCAATCAGGCCTAAACCACAACAGTGAAGCACACATTTTCCTCTGCTGCCTGGCACAGGAGCACTGCCCTCCTCTTTAGGAAGGGGTAACAAAGGGACAGCAACACTCCCTGAACACCAGGCAGAACCCTCCCACTGCTGAGGACCTGCACCAGTCCTGCCTCAGGTGCCTGTGCTGGCACTGCACCGAAGTGGGACATACCCTGAAGAAAGCTCAAGCTACTTAGCTTATCAAAAAAAGCATTAAGAGGTCACTTGATTAACGACTGGAATGCACTATGCAGGGAAAGACTCCTACAATATAGTGTGTTTTAATCTGAGAGGCAAAAAGTTTAATATGATCCAATGCCTGGGAGATGAAACCAGGCACACTCAAATGGAAAAGAAGGCATACACTTCTGGGATAATTAACCACCAGAAGAGTGTACCTAAGGGTACGGTTGAAATTCCACCTGTGAGATCTTTAGGACTGTATGCTTTGCTAAGAATATGCCAAACCACAACCAGCTGTGAGGGGCTAGAAAACCTCTTGGACAACACAGAGCGTCAAACAGGTTGACAACAATCATATTGTAGGTGAGGATCAAATCACAGACAGCAAGCATTGGGGGAGAAGGGGTGGAAGAGGGAAGTTTTCAAAGGACAGCTGGGAGACCAAAAGGCCCAAAACTTGGATGATCTCTCCATAAGCACCCAGCTCACTGGACCCAACTGCGTATTCATTACATGCTGAAGGAGTCGAGCTATATTTTGTTGCGGATTATGTAGGAACATTTACAGGTTGGCCTTAGGTTTGCTTTGCCAAAAGACATGCTCAAGGACTGAAGAGAGAATCTGCTGCACTAGAAGCCGATGAAATTACAAATGGCACAGAGAAGCGAATAAGGAAGCAAACAGTCTATTTCATACTACTAGGGACACCAGTGACGTTTTCTGGCAGAACAACTCAAATTCTGGAACTCACTGCCACAAGATGCTGTGGGCGTAAAAAAAATAGACTCAAAGAGGGATTGGACACACATCATGGAGAATAAATTGCATAAAACATAACAGTGCGGATACAGCTTCTGGCTCAGAAAAGCTGTACTCCTCTCCTTGGTGGGAGCTGCGGGGGCATTTCTGGGGAAAGCTCACTCAGTTCCAGCTCCCAGTTGGTGCTTGCGCACACATTTTCTGCAGTATCAGTGCTGCACGTCAAGTCATTTCTAAGGTAACTCAAAATCAAGTCAGTTCACTCCAGGGAGGGATTTGTCCTATGAAATCATCTCCATCTGCAAGAACTCTAAGCCAGCACTCGATTAATTTATCCAACTGTTGTACACTGTAACTCAATTCTAGTGGATGCAACCTATAGTGCACAAGGTTGCAAATACAACTCAGCCAGGAGTAGAGTCTCTAGAGTCTCTAGAAACCACTTGTTGAGGAAAAAACCTAAAACCTCATCTAACTTTGAGAGAGGAAGAATAGGTGTCTCTTGATAATTTGCTTTTTTAAAAAAAACTTTAACTATTCCCCCTCTCTCAAAGTTAGATGAGATGGGAAAAGTTCTTTAATATTAACCACCAGAGTGGGAATTCTACACATTGTTTACTCCTATTCTTACCAGAAATTGAAATAGACTCCATACAAAGGTCAAAGTGTGAGCAGTGTATTTTCCTGAGATGATTTGGTTTCAACAAAAATGAGCGGGAGAAAAAAAAGAAAATAATTTTAGACTACTCAAACTTAGTGAAAATGGATAGTTTCTTAAAAATTTACAAAATAAAACCAATTTATGACTTACTAGCTCAGCTGTCAGCTTTAGAGTTCCAGACTGCAAAGCATTTCCACGTGCCCAGGGTGCAGCCACAGAGTCAGCGGCCGGTAGAAGGCTGGGGAGTTCCCACAGCGCGCACAAACACGTACAGCCAAATGGCTGAGGAGAATAAACTTCCCGCCGGCACCTTCAGGCTCTTTCTTTAAAAACGCAATTTTTCAGACCTGTTGAAATCCCAGATGTGATACAACCACCAATGCTGGTGGCGTAATTCTAATTACAGTGCCCATACCTGCCGTTACGCACCGTGGCCGCCCCGCACGCCGCGGCACACCGGGCCGGGCTCCGCCGCGCCGGCAGCGGGGCGGTGGTTGGGCTGGGCTGGATGTGGGGCTGGACGTGGGGCTGGACGTGGGGCAGCCCCCCCCCCCCCCCCCCGGTGACCCGAAGCTCATGGCAGTGCAGGAGCAGCCCGGGGGTATCGCGGCCTCGGCGTGATTAGCTGCAGACTCCTGCGCTGTCCTGCAGTGTCAGACCCACCGTGGGATGTGCTCTGCGGGCGCACCCGTGGAGAACACCATTTCCTAACAGGGCTGTGCAGTGCGCCAACATCCACAGCTGCTTGGAAAACCACAGTGAAAAAATTGCCTGTGGAGGTTAGGAACTGCCTAACTAGGCAGAGAGTAGTATCCTGCCTGTAACAAAAGACCAGCCCAGCTACCTCACAGGCAGCACTGCTGGCTGTTTTGCCTTGCTACAAGTTGAACAGGATGACACAATTGCTCGGTGCAACTTGAGAGTGTATCATTGTTTTCTGGGGAGTTGCTGTAATGATTTCCCAGGGAACCTTTGTGAACACCGGCAACAGCATGGCAAGGTCTAACATCAATTAGAAAAAGATAACACCCCAAGCTCCCAGTGATCCCCAGAGCTCCCCATCTCCCGTCGCTGTGAGCCCCGGGACGGGACGGGGAAGCGAAGGAGGGCGAGTCGTGAGCCGCATCGCCCGGCGCTGGGGGGGAAGCTCCCTCGCCCTCCCCAGCTCCCAGGGAAGCTGTCCACCCGCTACCGCTTCATATGCATGTGCTGGTCTTTAATTAAAGCTCTCTAAATTAGTCGTGTTCGAGGAGCCTCTCCCTGCGGGAAGGCCCAGGGCCGCTGGCAGAGGCGCAGTGTGCCGGCAGCCACCAGCCCGGCTGCCCAGCGCGGGTGGATTGCCTCCGGCTGGGGTTAGAGGTGACAGGGACCGACAGCGGAACGATCCCCCGGTGACAAACCCGGCCCACATAACGCACTTTGCTTTCTCTGACGAGTGGATTTGATCTCGCAGGCAGTTCTGCAGGTGCAGCACCTAGGTGCGCAACTTCTGGGAATTTATTTTTTTTAAGCTCACTGAAGTTTTCATCTAGAATCTTTTTATTTCAAATGCTCCTCCTCCTCTCTAGGCTATGACATGCAATGAACATAGCTTTTACCTTTTTTTCTTGAAGTCGTAAGTGAAAAACAAACATTTTAAAATTATTTGAATACTTGAGGAAGGAATTACTTGTTGAGATTTTAAAATCCCTTTAAACCTGTTAATGGAAGATCATTTGAGGTCAAATGTGGGAACTATGACTTCCGCCATGCCCCCATTCCTGCCTTTGCTCTTTGCTGACTTTTCAGCCTCTAGCAAAGATACCTATTGCGAAATAGGAAAGAAATTACAGCTCTGGCAGTTCATAAATTTCAAAACTAAGGAAAAAACAAACAACCAACCCAAAAACTAGAAAGCACAGCAGCGAAAGAAATATGACAGAAAGGTATCAGTGAGGAAAAACTGGATATAGTGAATGTATTCCTTTTTCATTTTAAGTTAAAGTAAAAAAAAATCCAATAACATTTCACAGAATATTTAAAAAGAGTAGAAAATTATTCTGTCTCAACAACGAAAATGTGAGAATCCGGTTACGTGATGTTGTGCTGCTTCAAACTTGCAACATATATTTTTTGTTTCTCACCTACCACATTTCTTCTGTATCTTCACACCTGGGCTGTACAGAGCTTCTGCCTACATTCCTGAATGTCCTCCTATTGAAAAATAAAAATAATACATTTCCATTCTTGAAATCCTAATCATTTGTAACAAGAATTTGTAACCAACCTTTTTTGGGAAAAAGTTCTAAGCCTATCGTATCCCTCCAACATTCAATTGTACCTTGAATTCTTTTGCAAAACTGGCAACAGCAAATTCAACATGATGTCTCCTTGTTTAAGGATTTCCATTACACACACAGTTATTCCTGAGCCTGAGTTTCTGAAGCTGCCCACTTAGTGTTCTGTAAAGTAACGAAAAGGCAAACGTAACGTTCAAGACATTATCTGACAATGACCACAGAATACCCAGTCGTAGATATTGGAAGTGGCAGATGATGCCTTGAGTGTGGAAAGAAAAAACGAAGGAGCTTGCAAGGGTAATTCTTGTTTCATTGCTAATAGATGGAGATCCAATACAAGTCCTGATTTTCTAGGGGGTTGTGCATATGTGTGCGTGGTTCAATTTAAACAGCTCGGCATTTCACAAAATAGATACCAAAATTGATTCTACCTACTTTAGGCTAAACATGTGAAAATGCTGACTGACAGAATCACCTAAGGGTAATAAATCTGCCAAGTGTTTTGTTAAACAGCTATTCAGTTTGAAATGTATCCCGGCATTCTAGAATAACAATGGGCTACTGTAATGTATGATGCATTAATTATATAGTTGACAAGAAAATTACCCTTCAAGCCAAGATTACTAAAAACTTTACTAGTTTTTTTTTTTTACCCTCTCCTGTTGAATACAGCATTCAGTGTAGCCCTCCCAGGGGTTTTGCCCACCTCCTCCTGCAGAGTTAACCAGCATGGCAATAAAGTACCAGGGAGATTTGCACTGATATTTCACTGAGAACATTGGTTGCTTCCCCAGATTTTATTATAGCTGCTAAATGATGAATATTAACATACAAAATGGCCTTGGGTTTCCTCAGTATAAGTTTTTCTGATAAATATAATAAAATGTTGCTTCAATTTCTGACTGTATTTACATTCTACAACAGGTATGCCTGCAGATCTCTGACAATCTATCTGGAAAAAAAACCCACAACCACATCAGCTTTTGAACACTCGCTCATATATTAGTGAAAGAGTAGGAACTCTGGTCTTGGAGACAATGGAAAGATGCTGTAAATTAGTATAAGAATACAACAGAAAAGTAAATACACTGTTATGAGTAGAACATAATTTATGTGTTTTCCAGGCAAATACTCCTCTCTGATCCCTCTGACTGTTCTTGAAATTCTTGCAGTTCAGGGCAAAATCTGGATGCCCTCAGTAAAGCGGTGCAGTGGTGCTCCTGCGTACAGATACCCCCCCCGTATGCTGCCACATGTACCTACATACAAATAAGCAGTTTTAGAAACTACAGTTTAAAACCAGTAAATTCTTCCCCAATAGCATCCTGACTACAGGATGTAGAAACAGAAGCAGATTCAAAGGTCACAGGAGTGCTGCAAGTGTCATGGGAGGACTTGGTTCTGTAATAATTTCTTCTACTCTGTACTTTATTCGAAAATTTGGGGATGTGAAAAATTATGTGTATCGGACTTAAATTCTGCCTCAAAGATTAATAATTCTTAATTTTGCTATAGTTACTTTCTAAATACAATTACCAGTGATGCATCTGATTTTTTGAGTTAGGATCTCTCTCAACACACAGCACAATTCTCCAGTGAGTTTTCAGCATTCATGCACTGTTGCTGATATGGAAAAGCATTTCTAGTATTGCCAAGACAGAAGTGCTTACTAGCAAGGAAATGTTTCAAAATTGTACTGAAATATACTCTGTAGAGTTGACAATGATGTGTTAAGACTAAAGAAAATATTACATGTGCTGTAAGTTGAATTAGAAATCAAAGATCTCTTATAAGCATAAAACGGAACACCCAATTTCCTATAATTTGAGGTACAAGCATGACTTACAATCAAACACATCTGAAAAATGACACCACTGAGATTTGCCACCCTGAGGAACAGTCTGTAAGGATATATGTTTTTAGAGTAATGCCATGCTTCCTTTTAAATGGGTACAGAGAAATTCTTCAGTTTTACAGTATAATTTTAGAAAGTTACATCTTTTATAGTCTGCTTTACTGTAGGCTTTGTAAACTCACTATTAAAATAAATGAACAGGCAACGTGGATGAAAAGACTACTCCGTTTCAACTGTTATAACCCCCACTTTACCAAATCACGTTACCTTGTAATTTATTCTAATGCAGTATGTATTTCCCTTTAAAGACAATTTCTGTCCCCTAAGCATGTGTCTAAATGCCTTTCTGATTAACCTCTCTGATCAAAAGCCCACATAGCTCAAGCAAAATCTTTCCATTTACCTCAACGAGCTGTTTATTATTCTCCCCTCCAGAAGCTGTGATGAACTTGGTACTGTAACAGTGTTTTCTTTCGAGGAAAGCTTCAGGTGAAACAGTGGTGTGGACTAGATGCTTAAAGGAAGCAAATCAAAACAACGTATTGTGCTCTCATGATGACCAAGAGGGGCTGCAACACCAAAGAGAGATTTCTGGATAGTAAGGTCAATTAGTTACTATTGACTGAAGTATCCTTTCAGAACTGCTGGTAATAATCTGATGTGGGCCCAAGTTATCGGGCCTAGTTCTTGATGTCTCTGACCTTGAGGCGAGCACAGCCTGGATGTTATAGCTCAAGTCCTCTTCTGTTTGTTCCAGCAGAAGTCAAGTCTGCCTGGTTTCAGTCACAGCTGGCAAACAGCTTAAGACTCTTGTGTGTACCTGCACATTTACAGAAGGAAAAGTTACAAAATTTCCCAAATGAAAGTTTACTGAGCAGAGAACTGACATAGGGTGAGCTCTGGTTGATGGGAGGGAAGTTTAAGAAAAAGAGAAAGCAAAGGATGCACTACAGTGACAAAAACATCACAGAGAAAAAGAAGGCTTTGTCCAGGATAAATCAGTATCTGCCAAACACTGAAATATGAAACTTGAAGCCTCTCATTTCCAATGTTTCAAATCCTCTTTCTGTCATCCCCCCCAGCCCCCAACCCCACTGTCACACAGTTTCCACAATGTAGCTCCACTTCATCAGGTCTTGGGTAGAACCTGACATTGAAGAGTTCTAACTCAAGGGGTTTTGCTGGTTTAAATGTATTTCCATCATCCACAGACTTCTTTTTCCCCAAAGATAGGTATTACACACTTTAGAGAAGGGATCGTGTTTCTTTTAATCTCTGTAACATCACCTCAACATTTAATCATGCACAAAGAGAATCAACAGAGAATGGACCAAAAAACATGCCTAAATTCTTCCTCACAATTTTCAGCTTGCCAGTTCTTGCTTCATCGCCATCACCTCGATGACTGAGTATCTTCCACAGATATCAGAGGCAGTCACAGTGCCTAGCTACGCTCCCAGACTTGCCAAATTTCGTCTGAAAATTAGGTACACTGGTTTTTCCATTGCTCCACTATGATTATCTCATGTGTCTAACACGAACCAGAGCACTTGTTTCACAATTTCATCAGATCTACAGCTTTGAGGATCGTCTGGATCACAGATTTCAAGCAGCAGACAATGTCCAACACTCTGAAGCTGCTCAAGCGTTCAATTCCGCCCAGTGTCAAAACTGTGTAGCTTAACCATATCTAGCTACAGCTGCCCAACTTTGCTCTAGTGCTTTCTAACTTTAAAGAGTTACAGATCTCTTCCTCAAATAATCTTTCGTTCTTCTTTTCAAGCAAGATAAAGAGATTAAGAGTCTAAGTGTCTCTGTAGATGGCATGATTTTCAAATCTTTCCTGTAACCCTTTCCCAAATCCTTTCCAATTTGTCAACATCCTTTTTGAAGTTTGCACATCAAAATTGGACACACATTTCTAATAGTCAAATAAGAGTACTCTGAAGCTAATTAGCGCAGTTCTGTTTAACAGTTTTCCATTTTACAGCTATGCTTTCACCACTCATTGCCTTTGGGCTCCACATGCTCTGTTTGTCTATGCTTCATTTGAACTGGGCTTTCTTTGGTGGGAAGGAAAAAAATGTAAATGCCTGCTTTCTTTCAAACAGTTTAATTTGTATTTGTAGTAGATTCTACACAATTCCATTACATCTGCTTCCAAAATGAGGTGTACTTAAGATTTTCACACAGGGCAGCAGGGGAAACACAGGAAGACACCAAAATTAAAATTAAAGAAAAAAAAATTACCTAACTTAAGAAAATAAATGAATGCCATGTGGTCCACTACACCCCAGACCACTGGTGACATAGCTTTCCAACTGGCAAAAATCTCTGTGAACTCCGTGCTCGGGAGCAGAGGATGCTGTGTATGTTGAAGAGGAATCTTGGCTGTGATGGCCTTGAAGACATCAGGTTACAAAATGGAAAATCCCTTCTCAACAGGCAATACAATTCCAGTTGGCCATTACATTGCACAGCTTCCAGGGATTACTGGTAACTTTTGTAGGCAACTATGCAGCTATAAAACATCTGGCCATATTTCATGGGGTGAGCACATACTTCCTAGGCCCCACTTGATAGTTCTGTAAGAGCAGCACTGGTTACTGACAAATACTGCCAAGTCTCCAGAGCCCACATGATACTGTCCCAAATCAGAAATGCCACAGCAGTCAAATCACAAGCGGCAGTTGTGCTAGGAATCACATAATTCATCTTTTTCTTTCCCACAAAGTACATTTTCTAGATACCTTTCATGAGAATGCTCTTGGCACCGTCACCGCCAGAAACAACCAGACTCACTGTGTCTAAACACAACACGGGCCAGTCTTGCAGGCTGTATTTTCATGAGCCTGAAATGCTTTAATTACATTAAATACTTAACTCTACACACTATGATGCTAAAAAGGTTGCCAAAAACGCAAAGCTTGCAGAAGGAGAGAAAGCACAAGAGGAGGTTAAAACCAAGCAATCACTTTAAAGAGATGTGGGAATCGGTGACAGCAGGAGATTCCAGGTATCCGTGTGGCAAGCATTAACATCTCTCCTGACTTAGACATAGTCATTTGCATACTCTCCCACTGAAGACAGTAAAACAGCATTAAAAGAAAAGAAAGAACCCCACAACTTTCCTACATTTACATGAGAGCAACAGTGAAAAACAATGAAAGCAGCTTGGCATTTTTATAAGACAGTTCAAATAAAAATTAATGGCACATGTAATAATAATTCCAAGCGTATTTTGTTTCCATTTATATCCAACTAAGAGACAATTTTTGGTGCATTTGGTTTTATAGCTCTGTGTATATGCAGCAAAGTAAAAATTCTGCACATGGGAAAATAAATAAGTGGCTCTATGACTGGTTGACAGCAAGATTTGTAGAGCTAATTAGTTCAATGAATAGGAAAGGCACTCAAAACTAACAGCTCATCAAATAGTTCTTCATACAAGAGATATCTGTCACCCTGCCTATGCTGAATAAATATTTTTACTGTCTTCCAGAGATCAATGCCAACAGAAGCAAGTGAAGCCAGAACAAACCAAAACAACAATGAAAAAACACCAAAGAGCCCCAGCCCGAAAACCTGTGCGGTCACCCAGGTCAACCGCACTGACCGCAGCTCGGTGGGTGAGAAGTTGCTGGAAATACCAAAGCTGGGAAGTACCGTCTGCCTCAGCCAAAACCAGCTTCCTCTGGCCCAGGACTGAGCAGGGTCAGAGTCAAAGCTACCGAGGCGCTTGAAATTCTGTAATAAACATGGAAACTGTTCTCGGTTTTAGTCGGGGCCAGAGGCCATCATTCTGGCTAGTCAGGCTGTGTCCAGTGTGGATGATACCACACTGTGTTATTGCAGCCCTGAACAAAGCAGGTGGGAAACGGAAGCATTAGCTCAGCCCTCCGCTCCTGGGCGGTCCCGCAGGGCTCCGGTCATGGCACAGCCCGCTGCATGTGCTGCAACCAACGATGCCTCTGGACATGGAGGCCCTGGCTGCGTTTCAGCAGAAGACACGCAGTAAACTACAAAAGCAGCTACCTTTCCACTTGCTTCTCCACACGTGTGCAGCTGTGACTGTGGGATGAGGAGGAGCTGGGTGCAACCCGTCAGCCCCCGTGCCGGCCAGCGTTCCCGGCAGCCTGGGAGGGCTCCGCGGAGCCCGACAGAGCGAGCACCTCAGCACCAGCAACTAGAGTCTCCCAGGCACCCACACGCAAGATCTGCTTCAAGACTCAGGATCTCTTAGCGAAGTGTAGCCCCTTAACAGAAGACTTGGGCCTGCGATGAATTAGGCCGTATTTTTCAGTGCTGCTCCTACCGCTACTGTTACAGAGGTGGAAGGAGGCTGTTCCTTAAAAGGGCTGGAAAAACTGCTTCTACATTAAAAATCTGCATTCCCACAACCTGAGCAGCCGCCACTGAAATAAAACTGCAAATACACAATGCAAAAAAACCCCTTGAAATTGGTTCAGGGATCACAGAACCTCCTGCCCTGTCCCAGCAAGAGGGGCCCTGCCCTCAGTGCTCGTTTCCTGTATGCAAAGCTAGGCCCAATGCACATACCTCGATTTATTTCAGATCCCACCTGAGGGGAAAAGACAATATTTATTTATCTGTTTGCAGATTTTCTCATGCACCAACATGTAAATTGACCCCAGCACTTCACTGCTATTGAAGAGCCAGGAGGCTGCAGCTCAAACCTCCGCCAGCCAGCTGCCAGGCAGTCTGCAAGTTAGAGGTTTTCAAACATCCATAAAGCAGGTCCTGTCATACAGTGTAAGAACTGCATGTACTCCTGTTGTGGATTAAGTCCTTTCTTGGGTGGTTCTCTGCTATCGGTGTATTGTGTTGAAGATTATCATTAATTAGGAAGACAGAACACATTACCGAAGTGCACTCGTGGCCTAGTAGAAATGGCAACACCTTGTGTAGACATTTGAGGTCAACTAATTTCCATAAGAGTTAGGTACAGAAGTGTTGCTTCATCAAACAGAAACAGGTTTAAGCAAGTGCTTTGTGTCAGGGAGACCCAATGGGGCAATGTGCTGCAGATTAAGGAAACAATCATGTTTTGAACTAGTAACAGATTAAATGATAAAAAGCAACAATGTTCTAAGGAGGGATACTGATAACACTGTACTTCACCTAGGTTTTTAAAACCCACATATACCAAGTTATTCAATCCCCTTCTATAAAAAATTAGATTCTCAGGGGTAGTTTTATTCCCGCAGGAGAACTTGTATGAAATATGTAATTATGAGAGACAAACCAGATTACAAGAAATTGTTCTGGGCAGTTACAATTACAAAAATACTCATCTATCCATATCTCGTACTTGTTGATGCTGAAGAAAAAAATAACATGCTAAGTTAAGAAATACCAAAAAAAAGAAAAAAAAAAAAAAAAGAGATGAAAAATAAAGAAGCAATGAGCATGCACTGAAAGCAGCTTACTGAAGCCAACAGCAAGGACCCTATATCTGTCCTCCTTCTAGCAGGACAAAGAGGAAAAGGATAAAGTCTAGAAGCAGCTGACAGGAGGGAATCGCTCACACGAGCACCAAGAGACAAAGGAACTCCCTCAAGGGGACCCGGAGAGCTACTTTACAGCTGGTCATAAATGAGCCTGCCCCATCTCTAGCAGCTCCTGCCAAA